CTGCCCTAATCCCTTAATAGTATATTAACAACAGTAGCTAAAGACCTATCAGTAGTTACAATTGGTCTTTAGGTAAACTGGTTGTTACATTTGGTGACGAGCGTTGGTCTTTAGGACTAACTGGTTGTTACATTTGGTGACAAGCGGTGTTTTTTGATAGTATTTGACTGGTTGGAAGGAAAAGGGAAAATTTGTTATTAAAGATAAGGATAAGGAGATATATCAATTTTTTTACAGACATTTTTTTTAAATTTTGTAATTTTTTTGGAGAGGACAAGTGCCTTTTAATAAACTAAATTGAGTAGATACAGAAATCAAGTGATAAATGCAAATTTCATTTTATTAAATAAATTAGCGAACCTGAATTGATAAAAAACAAAGATAAATAGATGATAATTTAATATAATGTTTTAACTAAGTAGTTGTTTAAACAAAACATAGACATTGAAAATAATTGTAACAATAAACATTAGGGTCAAGTCGAAAATAGTATACAATTTTATTTATAATATTATATTTCTTTGTGTACAAAAAGTCATCATTTCAATAAAGAGAAAATTATTCAAAAGGAGAATTTTAATTTATTTTAAAATAACTATGATGTTAAATAAGAATTGCGAAGGGAAAATATTTAAATAGGTTGATGATGTATAAGTATATCTAGTTTAGATGATAAAGAATTTAAAGGTAAATATTGTCACTATTTACATAAAAAATTGACATTGAACTATAATGAACTATAAATATGATATTACATTTTCGCAAAGTATTTATTTCAATGTGCATTGCTATCAGTTGTCGTAGGTCAGTTATATAGGTAAAGTTAGTTCAGCGACGTACAGCGTTAATGAAAAATTGGCATTTTTAAATAATTTTTTTTTCAGAAGTATATGGGATTTTAAGGTTTAAATTTTGTGAATTAAAAATAATAATATAGATATACAGTGTTTTAGATTAAAGATGTTTACTAGGCCATCAGCAATAGAGTTTGAGGAGAAAGAGAACGTGTTCTACATGAACGAGAAAGAAAGAAAAGGCGTACAAGTGCGAGATGTGCGAATGAGCACATCTTAAGATGATTTAAAGAGGTTTGGACTGCCCAAAAGAGGCAGAGCAAAAATTAATATGTAAAGTGATTATATAGTAATATGTGAATATTGTATTACAGATATGCGACGAGGAATTCCAGGAGCTCCAGGCAAAAAACAGGAAGAAAAGAAGAAAGTTTGGGGACATTCGATCGAGGTACAATGCCGATCAACCCCCAAGCAGTGTCCACGACAGGACAAAACTAGAGGAGAGGTTGTCACGTCACGGTGTGAAGGGATAAGCTCTAAGGACCTTTTCCCCAGACTGTGATGGTGACAAATTTAGGTAAATAGATTGGAGGGAGTTTGGGGTCACATATGGATCGACGCAGTTTCCGACCAGCCCTAAACAACGCCCTTTGATGTCAGGACAAGATGTCCACGAGAGAAAAATTGGATTCAGACCGCTCTATATCAGGGAGCAACGCCGAGATTTTAGGAGCCATTCCGCTCTATCAAGAAGCAACGCCGATTTTATAGGAGAATGCCGCTCTACCAGGGGGCAACGACAAGTAATTAGGAGAACGCCGCTCTACCAGGGAGCAATAACGATTTTTTAGGAGCCAGATCGCTCAACCAAGAAGCAACGCCGCTCTACCAGAGAGCTACGCCGCTATGCCAGGCGCCACGACGCGCCACCAGATGAGAAAATTGCGATAGAAACAGAAACGTTTCAAAGTATGGAGATGCAGAATTTCAAGCGAAATCGAAAGAAGAGTAAGAAGAAAAGGAAATATAATATCAACAGGTGGTAAAAATATATATAAAGTATATAGGTAAAGTAGGGTATTAATCATATATTTTAAATTCAACAGATTAGAAGTAGAAAATATTACAATATAGGAAATTTCAAAAGAAGTAGTATAGAATTAATGACATAAAAATTATTTTAAAAGGGTAATTTATTGGATTTATTGGATAAGAATTATTTAAAAAGGGTATTTTATTGGGTTTTATTAGGTGTAGACAACTATTTAATCTACGCTTATGTGCATTTAACAAAAGTATGTTTTATTCTTAGAGACATATGTTGTTTATTTTTAATGGCCAGGAAATAAATAAAAGTATTGTTTCTGTAATAAAACATACTAGCTTTGATTGTTGATTCGTTTCGAAAACAAAAATGGGGAGAAATACAAATTTATAAAATCTTAGTGGGATTAATTTTGAAATAAAATAAGAACTGCATAAATTTGTAAGTCTCAGAGAATTAGAAAATGCTACCTACTCAAAAAAAATATATTCTAGTTACAATGTTTTGAAATTTAATATTCATAGTAAATATAAATAATTGCGAGATAGAGATTTAAAAATAAATAACGTTTTCTAGTTCAATAATAAAAAAATAATTTTGGTATATTATAAAACATATTTGTTTTCGTAACTATAAATGTGCTTTTGGGATAATTAAGGAAATTTGTATAAAAGATTTGTTTTTTTTGTTGGAAAACCTGAAATGTAAATAATATTTTTGTCATAGGATAATCAAAAGACGTTGCCACTGCACAAGAAGAAGAAAAAGAAAAAAGAAGAAGGAAAAGAAGAAAGAAGAAGAGGTCAACACCGTACTACCTTTGCCAGAGTCACCATCAGCACCGTTTCCAGGACGATCACGAAGTCCAAATCGTGATAGTTATCAAAATCCAGGACCGTACCAAGGGAACCCAGAGTTCCACGATTCCACGATCCACGGCAGAGAATTGGCCGAATTCCAGGACTCCAGAATCCAAGGCTACAAAGAGACTGTTCCATCCAAATCCGCCAACCAGTACCACCAAGCTCTCAGAGGGCATGAGTTATACCGCCAATGGAGCTTGACATGATGTTGGGTCCATTTTGAGTCTGTGGGAGCCAAATCCACAGCAGGAAGAACATGGAGTCAAATGCGGAAAAAAGGGACCAAATAATTCATATGGAAGGGACTAAGGTTCAATGAAAGAGGCCATTCCCAGTAATGAGTCAATAGGGACCACCAGTAGCAGCCGTGTACAGCAGCCATGTACACTACCAGTCTCAGAGTAACAAAAGAGAGAAGCAGTCCCGAGCAAATAGTCAACCAGAGAGTCCAAAGCCAAAGTCTATTGAAAAATTGATAGACTACCGTAGCAGAAAGAACCCGTAACCTCAGCCAAAAGGGTTACCAGGTTTAGCAGCCCAAGGACCAAACCAGATCGGGAAGGGACCATTCCAGGAAAGTCAAGGATCAGGGGATGATGAGAGGTGACAGCCAGAGAGGAAAGGGTAGTTACGGTCAGCCAATTAAGAAGACCAAAGAAGATACAACTTGTGCAGTGAAGCAAGCGTGAGGTTATCATATTATTGTAGATTGTTTTAAAAATTTTTGTAAATTATTTACATTAAGGGTTTTAAAAAGAATTGAACAAGTAGTTCAATTTTTTTTCTGTCGGGGGAATAATGTAATAATTGGCATTATTATTAATTGAAAAATCTAAAGAATTTACCAAAAATTCTAAACAAGTATTTAATGTTTAAATTAAATAATTAAAAAGACACTTATGACAATGAAACAAACCTTCATTTTATTAATTTACATTGAACGTGACATTGTAAAATACAATCAACAGTCACATAAATTTTGGTTTATATAGAAAGGATCACTTGGGGGAAACGCTCAGTCGGGTTCGGACTAAGGTCCAGAACTTTCGCCCCTCGGGCGAAACCCTGTTTTTTTTTTATTGTAAAGTAATGTGTAAAGTTTTTGTGTACGATGTGAATTATGGGTAAATATTTTTAACTTAATTTTGTTTAATAATAATTGATTAATTGATTTACATATAAATGCCAATTTTACATTTTCGTCCCGAATTATATTTTATGCTTATCTTTATTACTATTAGTTATAGTGCATTTTTCTCTCAATGGAATTTTATTCATTTTTTTCTGAAGACTATTTGTCAAGTTTTTTATTTATTGTTAATATACATTTGTTAATGTTTTAATACTTATTATTAATCTCTCCTCCTTTCCCAAACCAGCAAAATACTCCGAGCATTTGAGAAGCCTCGGCGTTTCTATTCCCTTAGGACTAAAAGAGTCTAAAACTAGTTGCCAAGAACCGCTCGACATATGCTATTAAGGGATGTTTTTTTGTATTTTATTATTTTTTCTTTATTATTTTTTTTGCCACTGGCGAATGGATGTTCCTTAAGGACTCCAGGACCCTTTGGCTGGTGACCTCGCTGCCCTAATCCCTTAATAGTATATTAACAACAGTAGCTAAAGACCTATCAGTAGTTACAATTGGTCTTTAGGTAAACTGGTTGTTACATTTGGTGACGAGCGTTGGTCTTTAGGATTAACTGGTTGTTACACATCAATAGCCTTTGAAGAGGTCTTTATTGCCTTTTATTACTGATATATTTATGAAATTGAAGCATATAATTTTTAGTAGACTTTCTGTTTCTGATTTAACCTTAAAAAGGAGTAACTTTTCTGATTAAAAGAGCAAATCGACGGCTTAATCTTCGAACAAGCCAACTCCTCTCACACTTAATTTTCAATAGGCACTTAAAACTGTCCTAACGGTTTATAATCGTACTAGTATTTAATTTCTTAGTCGTAATTTTTCTTCTTTATGTTTATCATTATAACAAATTCAAAAATATTATGTTTCTTTGAATAGATTTTTTTATTTTGGCTTTTTTTGTGGATTCATTTACTTATTTTTAAATCGGAAGTTAGCCTAATTTCTGGTAAAGTAACTACTTACTAATTAGGCTATAATATGCTAATATGACAAGTAACCCAAAATGTAACTTTATTTAGACGTGAAAATATCGGCCCTAAACATGATAAAGTTAAAGTTATTAAAATTAAAACTAAATTTTATAGAATAAATAAAACGTTCTATTTTATTAAAAAACTAACATTATAACTTGTTTTAACAACTTATTAGTTATGTGGTAAATTATCGTAATATGAATGATAATCAAAAGGTATAGTTATTTTCAGCTCCTGAAGATCATTAAATTTTAGGCAATTTAATGGCAACCTATTGGAATGGAGAGTGGGTAAATTATCAAATTGTCTTGGTAGAAGCAATTCACGGCGTTGTGGAAGTAGCTTCCATTCGTCTCCAAACCTTAGTTTATAACAAACGCTTCCATTTGGTGAATATTGAAGAGCTCTGTATTCATTTACCTAAAACCCATGTAAAAAAATAAATAAGAAAAGTACAATATTAGCGATTGTAAAATTTTACCTTTGGGTCACCTTTCATTTTTCCAGGTCGAATAGATTTGAGGAATTTGACATCAGTATGAGATTTAAAGAGCTGATGTGTTAGATATTCCACATTATAAGACCTCAGATTTTTACGAGCTCTTCGACATATAGTAATATATTCCGCAGACACATGGATTATTTTGTTTCGAAGTCTTCTTTCAATTGAGGCATGCATGGAATCTACCTCCATTTGTGTGTGTCCTACTTCTAGATACTTTTGTTTAATAATGACATCGTTAATCATAGCCACATTATAATTTTCTTATCCCTGTCTTTGGGGATTAGTGGAAGAACTTTATGTACAAGAAGGTGTGCAACAACTGAAGCAAATTATTCAGCTGTAACGCCACTTCGGTCTCATTCCATAGAAAACAGTAAGTTTCTTTAGGTTTTAAATTAAAGACACAAAAATTATGAATATTTAGTTTCGATTTGTAATATAATGAAGATACGTAAGATTTCGGAGCTGACAAGAGAGCTTGGACGTCAACAGCAAATACATATTCCCTCACTATTTTTATCGTTGTCTTTTTCAGAAAAGTAACTTTTTGTGTTTAGAAAGCTTGTTTAGCTAATTTCACAGTGTAAATATAAAAAGTACAACATATTTTGCAATTTTTTCCTAAGATAAAATCGAGGAAATCGTATTTTTAGTATTTTGGGCCGTAAGCCCGCCCCAATGGTTTTATAAATTTTGAAAATAATACATTTACGTAACTAGTAAAGCAACTTTTTGAATCTTGCGGTCATATTGTAGTAAAAGTTACGCTTTATGCAATGGCACCAATATATCGTTTTTTAAAAATAGTGCCCTTCTACAAGGTCTAATTTTGGATTACCTCCGGTTTTAGAAACTACAAGATATTAGTTTCTAATTCATTAACAATTCAGCTTGTGACACTTAGCCTCCTACAGAATTCGTTTCTAGAGCGTTTTTGTTACAAATACCACCATACTATATCGAATAGCTAGAAAACACTTTAATAAAAACGTTTTAGCGAGACGCGATAGTAGCTAGATTTAATCTAAAACTGTTTCAACCCTCACAGTCGGCACTGCACGCGGTTACTCCTTCTTTCAGGAACGGAAGTTATAAATTTGAACGTGTATCGTACCTTCCCATGTATTAAACCTCCCTAGTCTCCTCTACATACATTATATTTTCATTTAATAAGAAAAATCAAGTTAATTCTAAAAATACGAACTTTAAATGTCACAATACTGTAATAAAATTATTGCAATAACAAGACTAACAAAATAAATTATTCATTATTTTTAATAACCATCACTTGCTTCATTTTATCAATTGATAATCTTGTTCGTCTTTCAGATAATATCTGGCTGGTTTTAGAAAAAAATCTTTCACAGAGTACTGATGTAGATACAGCTCCAAATTTCTAACTAACCATTTTACAGAGGTTTGGAAAATTATGTTTATTGATTTTCCATTAATTCAATGCATGTATTTCGCGATTTAACAGAGAATCTTCCAGAAATATTTGTATTTCTATTAAAGCCTTAGAACGGCTGTTTCCACCTACAGGTTAAAACAAGGAAGCTAGCTTATCGAAATCACTCCAAATTGAAATGTATCAGGTAAATCATCAGTTTGTTGCTGGGACTGAAAAACAGACTGTTTTCTTAACTGTGCCTTTCTAAAAAGCCTATAAATGTTTTGGCTTTTCGCTAACTTGTTCGTTAGAGAAGCCGATATTTTTAAATCTCGGGTCCAAAAATATTAAAACTATCAAAGTACTCATTTCTAAATTTTGTTGGATATAACGGTAATTCTATGGAAATATTAGTTACAGTTGCAAATGTTCATAGACGGAAATTAATTTATGGAATAAATTAATGGGAATTTTAGTGACTTCGTCACAACCTGAATTATTGGTTCATTATTTACATTATTTCCACCGCCTTCTTCATTTTCTCCATTGTCTTCGTTTCTAGGATTACCTTGTAGTAAAATAAAATTGTGCAATACACATGCAGCCATAATGATTCTACTAGCATTTTCTGGGGTTGAAACATCTAAATATTTTAGTCTACGGAATTTTCCTTTCAGTAAACCAAATGCCCGTTTAATTATTGATATTGTAACACGAGTGTGGGTTGAAACTATTTATTTAATTAAAATACAAAAAATAACTAACCGAACGCGTAAACTATTTACAATTATTACTATTTACAATTGAAACGTTGATCCGCCACGCGCTGACCGGCTTTCTATCTTCCACTCCCAATTGACAGTGTCGTATCATCAACAAACTATGGTAACCGCTTCCATGACCGTTCTCGATCATTCTTCACACTTTCTTCCAGTCTCTGTCAGCCTGCCCGATTGTAGGTTGGGTTTCCTGTCACCTTGACGGTTCGTTGTCTCGTACTGTTGTGGCAAACCCTGGCACTGTCTCGTCCGTAGAGCCAAACCGTTTCAATATTATAGATGATAACTTTATGTTATAGGTTCGCTGTTCTCTTGTAAGATGACCATTATCTTGGTATGGTTTCATTAATTTTACGGATAATGGTTAGGCTGAATCACCAATTATATGAGAATTATTTGGAATTAATTCGTCAATTCTATTATATAATAGATTTAACCTATAAACGCGACTATCATGTATTCTACCTGGCATTTCTATGCAAACATCTGTGAATCTGCCTTTATCATCACATATACCTAAATTATGAATTATATACTAACAATAATAAAAGCCTCCTGAAAATGTTTACCATGCAGAATCACTGAATTAACACCTTTTCTATTGTAGTAATCAAATGCATTTTCTTCAGGCTGTTTAATTTGTATGTGGCACCCATCAATAGCACCTATAACACCTGGAAAGCCATTAGACGGGTTTTGAAATATATTGGCTGTCTGTACATGCTGCTCTAAGTTTTGCCACCGTATGTAAGTATAACTTAGTCTCCCAAGGTATTGCACTATTTGAAAAAATATTAAATGTGCTGTGCTTTTCGCAAAATCAAAACGATCCCCAACAGAGAGGAAACTGTCTTGTGTGCTGATTGTCCACAACGTAAATAATAATTTTTTTCTCAATGGTTATTGTGCAATTTCATTTACGACAAACTGTTGCAACTGTCCTAACAAAACCTACAAATAAAATACATTGATATTACAAAAATTATTTTCTAAACAATTGTGTTTTACCTCAAAGGTTTCTCTTGACATACGAAAATTTTCCCGGAATTGGATGTCTGAATAATTGGGAATAGTTTCTTCGTAATAGTTTTCATTTCTAACAATCTCTGGTCGTTCAACTGGAAAAAAGTTTCCTATATTCAGTAAAGGTTCCGCCAAATCAATTGCTGCATGAACAGTTCTTGCAATTCAAATTCGCCCATGATTTTAAAACAAAATTTTCCACTCACAGTTTTTAAACTCTTATCATTAAATGTTTATATTATATTAGAAAATAAAACAACTTCAAATCAATTCCACATATATATATATATATATATATATATATATATATATATATATATATAATTATTATTCAAGGCGACCGGTTTTGGCTATAATGCCATTTTCAAGCCTATAACAAGTTAGATAGAAGTTAACAAAGTTGGTAAAATATTAAACCAGACATACATACCTAAGTTCTTAAGTGGTTTCTAAATAAAATATAATGAAACAATTGTAGATCTACTAAATCTACTGTATAACATATGAGGTGCAAAAAAGTAGCATTGAACTTAATGAGTAATGTTTAAAGTGGGATTAAAAATTAAACTTAGTGATAAAAATATTATTAAAATAATTATATACGTGAAGAGAAGGTAGAAGCCCCAAGAGTGAGGTGATCGATTATACTAGAAAGTATAGATGTTGTGGAAAAGCACTTTCCTTTTTCCGTTCCAGCTTTTACATATTGTAATATATATTGAAATGGTTTGTCGTTAGCAACGTTCCTTTTTTAAAGATTCATTTCAAATTTGAATTTGACATTTCTTCTTTCTCAAAGCGATTACCAGATAATCTGGGTGATATTTAACTTTCATTGCTATTAGATCGTTTGTTCCTATTCTTTGTAGGACATTGGATGAAAACGTGACAATATGTTTAATTTTGTTTTCAATGTTTTTTGGCATAACCTGTATCAGTCTTTTTTCAGCAAGGCGTTTTTGATAAATAACGCACCTATTTATGTCAAATGTTCCTTTTCGAAGAATTCTGCCCACTACAAAAGGTGGTGTCACGCCAGCCAGTACGATCATATTCTGCTGGCCTACTCACTTTTTTCTAAATATTTAATTTTTTTACTGGAATAAATAATGTAATAATTTTTGTGTCAGCCTAAATTGGTGTAATCGCCACTTTTCCCCTACTCAATAGCCTTGTGTATATCAGGATCCGAAATTTTATTAATATTACTCTAATTTTTGTAGAATTAACAAATGTAATAAAACTTTTTTTGTGTAAGCACTATTATGTCTCCCCCTTTTTCTGCAAATTATACATTGTTCTTGATATTTTATTTTGAATTAAACCAATGATCCGAATAGTTAGGTGCCCAATTGCGCCTATATGTAATTTACTAAATAAAGTAACAGTTCTAAATTATTTTTTTGTATTTTACGTTCATAAGAAACTCATTACGATACGCGATTTGCGTGTCTTAATAGCTCTATTTCGATACGTAACTTTTTATTTTTTAAGGTTGCACCACATTCCATTAAATAAATAATTATTACATTTTTCGCTTGACGGCTGTCGATTTGGACATTTCTAATGGGACTTCTTCGGTAATAGGTCATTTATAACCCCTTGAGCTGCTTTTCTTAATTCGGGTGGTGTGCAGGTTACATTTTCTTCTTGACTCATCGTAATTATTAAAAATGCAATAAAAAAATTACAATTTTGAAAAACTGTAACTGTCAGTCAAAAT